AAAACATTGTTTTCAATCGTTATGAGTCTACCGATTGAATAGAATTTTATTATAAACAATTGCCTTGTAAATAGGATTTTTAAAGCATTCCGAATGTAAAAATAAAGAAAAAAGTGTGCAAGACAATAAGAAACACTACCTGCCAAAAAAGTGAAGTTTTGTTGAAATCGGTTGAAAAATGTAGGAAATTCGATCCTATATATATAAACGAACACATACACACACACACACACACACACACACACACACACACACACACACACACACACACAAACAACCTGGATTTTATAATAAGAATAACTCGATATGAGTTGTCCCCCTTTCATTCTCGCGACAGTGATGCCTCTTAATCGTGTTTACAAATTGATTTCGTGCAAAACAATTGTGTTTTTCCAATTTTTGGCGCTGTCAGAACCACTGCAAGGTAATTTTACGTAGTCCTGTGAAGTTTTGTTGAAATCGGTTGAAAAATTCAGGAAATCCGATTCAATATATAAACGAACAGACACACACACAACCTGGGTTTTATAATAAGTATGATATATATATATATATATATATATATATATATATATATATATATATATAGTGTGCTGTTCGATAAAAGTGACTCACCTGATTTTTTTTACTAAATGTTCTCTTCTCCGATGAAAAGAAAGTTGAGCTAAATTCAAAGGATAACCGATCTAAAATCCGAAGAAGAAGCTTTGAAAACTCTTTGAATTTAGCAGTAAGTACTGTCAAGCATCCGTTCAGTATAATGTTCTGGGGGTGCTTTTCTTTTCATGGAACTGGTTTCTTAAAACCTATTGAAAAGACCCTCAGGAGCGAGCAGTACAAGAGAATTTTAGAGTCTTGCCTGATCCCTTCTGCTGAAAGGGTGCAAATCAACCCCACCAAGATCATTTTTATGCAGGATAATGCTCCCTGTCATGAATAAAAATTGATGAAGGAATACTTTGATGAGAAGCAGGTGAGTGTTATGACATGGCCACCCCAATCTCCTGACCTCAACCCCATAGAAAACGTATGGGGCATTATAAAGTACAGGCTCTCGAGAAAGTAGTAGTGCAACAAAGAGGATTTGATTGTGAATTTTATATCCGAATGGAATTTAATGCTTGAAGATGTGATTTGTCAGAACCTAATCAATTCAATGCCAAAAAGGGTTGAAAAGGTTATTCAAAATAAAGGAGGACCCATAGATTATTAAATATTTCGAACTATATTACCTATTATAAATAAATTATACCTCTATTATTCTTTATTTAAAGCTGTTCGGTAATGTTTCTATTGATTACTAGTTGCAGGAAATAAGTGAGTCACTTTTTTTTCACAGAGTTTTTCCCTAAATCTCATTTATATCCAAAATTATAATTATCAATAGAATACCTTAGGGTGAGTAAACTTTTTACTAGGTGGTCAGGAAGGGTTCTTTATATTAGTAATATTAAAAATTAGTTTGACCCCAAAAATAATAGGCGAAAAAATTTTAAAGTAAATATTCAGGTGAGTGACTTTTATCGAACAGCACTCTCTCTCTCTCTCTCTCTCTCTCTCTCTCTCTATATATATATATATATATATATATATATATATATATATATATATATATATATATATATGAAAGTGAACATTGAAGTCAACACGACAGATTGTTTCATGCTAGGTGCAATCGTCAGGTCGCCTGATGAAACAACCTGTCGCCTCTGAGTGTTGACTTCCATGTTCACTTTTATATTTATGTTTACATACGTTCTGTCTCGGATATTTAGCACTTTATCCCATAAATATAGCACATCTTAAAACTATATTTTTCATATATATATATATATATATATATATATATATATATATATATATATAAAAGAACAGTTACATTTATAATTCAGAATTCGTTAGTATTTGTTTTATTAAAAACAGTGTCATTTGAAGATCTACATCTCGTTCTTTTATTAGTTTCCATTTTACTGTTCGTGTTTTATTTGATTTTTAACTGACTAAAAATTTTCAATTCTCATTGCCCTACCAAATTAAATATAAAATACTATTTAGTTTATAAAAGGTGTAAATCATTTTTTTCGATGCGTATTCTAAGCATCGCTTGAAAATGGAAGGGAACTTCAAATTTTAAGTTTAATTTTAATTTACGATTTAAGTTTTATTTCGAAACAGTAATTTGTGTTGTGATGGAAACATATTTTTAAAAATTATTATTATTATTATATATATATATATATATATATATATATATATATATATATATATATATATATGTATGTATTAATATTGCATGTTTGTTGCATTTTTTCGAGGTAATTAAGGGAAACATTATAAAATTCTGAAATATAATGATAATTGCAATAATTGCGTTTTCTTACAAGGACATTCATTGACGGAGAAGCCAATACAGCTTTCGTTTGAAATTCATATGGATTCTATCCTTAATTTCTCTCCGAGTTACATGTGCTATCCATTTTAATTGTTGCTGCTATTGGAATCTTCAAGTGACATGTTTTTTTCTTATTTGGTAAGTTCTTTCTTTGTGATTCTGTATCGCCAATCCACAATTTCTAAAGAAAGATCTTTTCCAAGACCCACACGCTTCACCCTCTTAAAGAGTTTTTTTAACATTGATCAATCAATGCGGTTGTATGCAGCTGGCATTTTAAATAATTCTGAACAGGTTTGGTGCCATGCTTATCATCCATATTTTTGTGATGTCAACGAACACTCGTTGCCACTTTTGTAATATCAAAGAATACTTGCTGTCACTTTGTTTCTGTTTTTGAAACATGGTAATTCCTGTGTATCGACGGAATCATATTTTTAAATAAGTAAATTTATAATATTTACGTTCTGTAGATTTGCATTGAGCACCGTTTTTTAAAAACAAAAATAATTATTAAGAACACCATTTATCTTACTGTTCTTTCTCTTTATTATAATTAACACACACACACACACACACACACACACATATATATATATATATATATATATATATATATATATATAAAGAAATATAGTCTTAAGGTATGCTATATTTATGGAATAAAGTGCTCAATATCAGAGATAGAGCGTGTAAATATATAAAAGTGAACATAGAAGTCAATACTTAGAGCCGACAGTCTGTTTCATGCTATATACAATCGTCAGGCCTGCCGATTGCATATAGCATGAAACAGACTGTCGCCTCTAAGTATTGACTTCTATGTTCGCTTTTATATAAATATATATATATATATATATATTTGTATATGGATTCCCCTCAAAATATAGTGTTTTATATATTAGTTCTATATATCTGAAATAGCCAGTAGTCTGGCTCTCAGTTTCAGTCAATATTGTTTTAGGTGTTGCCATAGAAGGATATGACTACACAATCAAGAAATTCATATTCAACTTGTATTGACAGGGCTAACATTGTTCTTGGCGAATATAGTCACCTACAGGATTACTCTGAATATTGAGCCGAGTCAGTATCCTAGATTAGTGGCTGCTTAAGAATTTCAGGTGAGGTAAACTTGGATGAGCGGTGTAATGGGTAACGACTCGGGATGAGAAATCGGAGAGTAGAGTTGGGTTCGTTAAATTTATTTATGCGTAAATGCCCTTGAGCGATGAGAAATCGAAAAGATCGCTTCAGTGTGTCACATACGCCTCTACCAACACTCAGTGAGTTAGCACCGAAGAATAATGGTTCATTCTTCCTCATGACCTGGGAAAGTCCTACGTCCCAAAAAGACATTCACAGGCAGTGAAGAATCTAATCATGACAATATTTTACGTTGGGAAATGGATGTTACATTTTGATTCAGTACTTCAAAATTGTGTAGAAATGACCAAAATACCCCATCCACCATTTCGAAAACGATTTTGAAGACATGTGTTATTGAAACATTGTTATTCGCTCGAGGGCTTCAAATTTGTTTATTGAAAGAAAACATGTTCGACATGTTATGATTTGTGTATTTTGTTTCCATGGCTGATTTTAGGATGTGCATATTTTGAGAGACACGTATGTAGACACGAAAAGCAGAAAAGAATCTCTTTTCAAAGTTTAATCGGGTAAAATTGTTTGTGTAAAGATCGATATGAATCTCAGCTAATCGAAGTGATACTGCCTCGCATTTGTTTTTTTTTTCTTTAATTGGAAATCAGTTAAAATATAATGGGTGTTGGTATATATATATATATATATATATATATATATATATATATATATATATATATATATATATATATATATATATATATATATATATATAGGGGTCTGTGTGTGTGGGTGTGTGTGCTTTAGAGATTAATAATGTAAGACCCGTCACACAGAGAGAAAAAAACAAGGGAAAACTAGATCTGGTTTAAATATGGTTAAATGGACATTTCGAAAGGAAAGAATATATGAAAATATTGAGTTATTTCCATATGAAAAATAGAGGAAAAATATGTAAAAAGTAAAAGTAAAAAACTTTATCGAATTTAACAGTGAAATGATATAGTGGAAAAACGGTAGAAAAGGTACTTAAATAATGGCGGTATATAATCATGGCAAAGGAAAAATAGGCCATGAATAGAAAGGTGAAGAAAAATACCAAAAGAAAGTAAATCTGCAGTGAGAGAAAAAGAAAATTAAAATCATTTACGGGCGAATAAGTATAAAAGTCAAATTTTATAGGCAAGATGTGTTAAAAAAAATGATGATAAAATGATGACTAGAAGATATTAAAATGTAAATAATTCAGGTAAATTATGGGGAATAATATAAACTCTATATAACAATAGAAAGAACGAATAAAGGAATGATTAAGGAAAGAAAAAGTGAATAAAGGAAGACGGAAGGAATTACATAAAATAAAGAAATTAATGAATAAAGGAATGAATAATGAAAAAGAAAATTGAATAAAGAAAGATAAAAGACATTATATATTAAACGAAAGAATGAACGAATAAATGAATGAATAAAGAAATGGAAAAATGAAGTAGAAAGAAGGGAAGAATTAAGTAATATTAGAAAGAATAAGCGTATAAAGGAATGAATAAAGAAAGGGAATAACGAAGAAGCGAAGTAGGAAGGAATTAAGTAATATAAGAAAGAATGAGCGAATGAGGGGATGAATAAAGAAAAGGAATAAGGAAGAAGGGAAGTAGGAAGGAATTATAAGAAGGAATGAACGAATAAAGGAATAAATAAGGAAAAGAAATAAGGAGGATGAAAAGTAGAAAGGAATTAAATAATATAAGAAAGAATAAGAGAATAAAGGAATGAATAAACAAATGTGAAAGGGAATAAGGGGCGTAAGAAGGACTAAAATAATATCAGAAAGAAAAAAAGAAAAAGACCGAACGGTAGGCAAGGAACTATAAGAAAGAAAAAAAATGTAAGAATGATACTAAATTAAGAATGAAAAATAAAAACGGAAAGAATAAGAGATAAAAACTAAAATAAATAATAATAAAGTGGATGTTAGCAAGGAGATAAAGAAAGAGTAGATTGCAAAATAGAAATAATTTTTTTTTTAAAAAAAAGAAAGAATAAAAGAGAGAAGGAATAAAAGAATGGAGGAAGAAAAAAAAGAAACAAAATTAGAAAATGAAAGCGAAAGATAAATATAAATTAAAAGCAATTTAGAAGGACAGATTTGATGAAAGAAAGAAAGAGAGAAAAATAAGAAAGAAAGAAGAAATGAGTGAATGTATGCATGAATGAATTGGAAAAATGGGAAAAAGGAATACAGAAAAATGGAACAAAGAAATAAAATGAGATAGAAAAAGAGAAATCTTCCAAAAAGAAAAAAAAAATTATACTTCTAGCGTCACCGCCAAAAACTCTCAATTTTTATTTACTTTTTATTCACTTTATTATCCTCAGTAGTAGTAGAAAGTTCGACTATCGCCCGGTTCACACTCTTCTCCGGTCCTTGGACAAGAGGAGATGATTATCCTTTGTTTCTTGTTTAGGATATGGGTTCCAGTTCCTTCAAAAGTCTTCTAATTATCTTTCACTCCAAGTAAGCGCTTGCCTCTTAGTGGCATTATCGCCTTGCTTGGGATGGTGCTGCTTACTCTCTAACCATCTACCTCCAGTGGCTCTTGGGCCTTGTACAGGGTGAACATCATTGTAATAAAAAATTAAAAAAAAATGTCGGTAATGTAAGAAAGAAAGAAAGAAATCAGAAGTGAAAGAAAAGAAGAAAGAAAGAAAAAGTGTAAAAAAAAAAGACAATAAAAAAGAAAGGAAAAGTGTAAAAAAGATGCAATAAAAGAAAGAAAGAAAAAGAAAGTAAGAAAGGAAAAGTGTCATAAAAAGATGAAATCTAAGAAAAAAGAAATCAGTCAGGGAAGAAATCAGGAAGAAAAAAGAAATAAGGAATAAATAAATAAATAAATAAATAAATGATTGAATAAAGAAAGAACGAAATGATGAAAAGGAAAAATTTTAAAAAAGAAAGATGAAAACCATAATAGATAGAAAGAACGAAAGAAAGGAAAATTGTAAAAAAAAAGATGTAACCTAAGAAAGAAAGAAAGAAAGAAAGAAAGAAAGAAAGAAAGAAAAGAGAGAGATTGAGAGAGAGAGGGAGAGAAAGAGAGAAAAAATAACGGATGATTCAATGAAAGATATTCTAAGTTAATGCAAATGTATTATTGATGGTGGAATGCAGCAAAATGAGTAGCGAAAAGCAAAGTCGAAAAATAATACAAGAATGGAAGATGTAGAAAATTAAAATATCAACGCATTAATGGATTAGAGATTGAAATGAGAAAATAATCCACAAATATGAAGGCAATAAAGAAATAATAAAGCAAGCAGCGAGAAAGAAATAAAAGTGGCAATAAAGATAACTTATGAAAAAGAAAATCAAACATGAAATCGAGCAGAGATACACTGTGCCTCGTTTTCAGATTCCAGCGGCTGGTATTGACATCTGCATATTACGCTTATGTTTAATGGAGCAAGATGGCGCCCATAGAATAGATCGCAGAATTCGGTCAGATTAACTTGCGTAGGCGGTCAGACGACAAAAGAAAAATTATTTAAAATTAATAATGAAGACAACGACCTCAACCATTCCTGCAACAACTGTGTTCAAGAATAAATACTTTCATCTCCATACTTAATACCATCAATAAAGAAATGGTTTATTTGATTTTATACTTGTATGTGCGCATGCGTGCCTTCTTTGTTTTTATCTTTTGGTGTTCTTCCGTTTGTATGCCTTTAGATTTGGTATTATTCGGTAAATAATTTTCTGTAGATTTTTACAGTGATATGATATTATGTGTATATGCTTTTTCGTCCTTGGTTTCATCGAGGCTGACTAGACTGATCGTTTATCGCAGAAAAATCAAAACGTTTTATTTTTTTTTTTTAGAATATTCCGATTTTTCATCATTCTATAATGCTTCTTCATTTACGTATTGTGTTTCATGCGGGCGTGTTCAATCATGGATCTCCACAACTTCCCATTGTTTGCAGCTTAAAGTAATTTTGTCCTCTTATTATATCTCATAGATCATTTGTCTATATTTCTAAGTATCAGTTACCTTCCTTTAACTCAACTTTCCATGCTTTTGTCCACCTTTGTTGCAGCCGGGTATTGAACACCGAAGATATCCAGAAGGGGCATGACACATAAAACTAGAACAGTCTACCCCGATGGGCGAAATAAGGGGTTCGGTTCTAAATTCCAATCAGCTGAAGAAGGTCAGACTGTACAATGGCCGAAACGTTTTGAATATGACAACAAAAATGTGGACAACATATTCTGCCATGAAGTTGTACAAGATCGTTAGTTAAGTTAGAAAATATTTCCCAATACTTCATTACTTTTCACTATGTCCTGTGAGTATCAAATTCTTTAAGCTCTCTTTCTTCATTATGCACAGAAGAAGATTTAGCTGTCACCTTTCTGTTCTAGTTTTTTGCTTAGCTTTTGAAAGGCATCTTTCGCTATGCAAATTCGCTTTCTCATTTCTGCTGTCAAAATCTTGTAAAACATCTTCTAGAGAGTTAAAATTTTGTACTTGCTTGATTTTGAAGTCTCCAATTAAATGGCTCGCATCTTCAGCTGTCCTCCTTGCTAATAACCACACGAGGATGGGCTGAAAAGTTCATCGGCTTACTTGGAAGAAGTGGTGCTAGGACTGTGAAATGTTGCATGGATGAATTCCAACTCAGTATCTGTCTATATTTCTGAGATGAGGTTTTATCTACACTAGTTAAATTATTCGGACTATTGTCTTCATCTTTGCCGCCATGTTTATCACAACATTTCAGCAGTTTTATGCTCCGGCCTTCTTCAGGTGGTTGGAAAGTTGAACTAAACCCTTTATTTCGCTCACTGGAGTAGACTGTTCTAGTTCCATGTGTCATGTTTAATGGATGTCAGTTATCTCCTGTTAATTCTCCTCTCAAAGGTATCCACCGCCTTAACCAGGTATTGAACTCACACACTTTGGGTCCTGTCACTGGATCTAACTTACGTCTTTTATTCTTTCTGCCATGTGTCCATCTGTGTATGAATTTTGGCTATTATAAACCTAATGTCTCCAGAAATCATTTTTAGAAGTGCTCATTATGCAATTTTTGCTGTTATCATTGCATGTTTTTTTTTTACCAAAGCTCATATTTAGATTTTTTGTTGTTATTATCGCTTTTCTCTGGTACTCCTTATTACTGGTTCCCATATTGTATTTATTTCTATGCTTGGTCGCACAAGGTTGTCGCAAGTCAGTCCAGTAGTGATTACTACTATTTGTAGGTCGGTAGTTCTGGGTCGTACTCAACAGATACCAGCTAGTTATATTTATATACCTCTCCACGGTGTTGGATGTCGCACAAGGCCGAATTTAACGTGGGGCAATCCGAGCCCGTAGGCTCGGCCAAAAATTACCCGAAAACCCCGCATAAATTGGTTCGGGTCTATCTATCTCCCGGGACGAGACGCTGACCTTCGGCATAGCCTGGTCCGGGTTCCTCTCTGCCCAAAGGGAGAGTTCGACAACAGCTAAGAGCTGAGTAACAGATCCCATATAGTAATATTTACCAAACTCTACACGGGGTAGGATGTTGCAAAAGGCCGAAAATAATGTGAGGCAGTCCGAACCCATAAGCTCGGCAAAAAATCCCCGTAAACCACGCATAATCGAGTTCGAGTCTCTCTGCCTCCTCGGACGAGACTGTGTGCCCTTCGGCATAGCCAGGTCCGGGTTCTTCTGCCCGAATGCAAAGAGTTCGACAAAATCTAAGAGCTGAGTAACAGATCCCAGTCAGTATTTACTAGACCCCGCCTCCAAAATACTAGATGTGGCACAAGGCCGAGTTTTACGTGGGTCTTCGGAGCCCGTAGGTTCGGCCAAAAAATGCCCGTAGAAACCGCATAAACGGGATCGGGTTGTTCAACCTCCCCGAACGTCCGGGTTCCTCTCTGTCCGAAGGTAGAGAGTTCGACTGTCTAGCTAGAACAGGTCGCAGCTAGTATATTTAGCTACTCTCCACGTGAGTTGCAGGTGGTACAAGGCCGGTTTAAGTTCTCCGAGCCCGTAGGCTTGGCCAAAAATATCCCGTTTCGAACCCGTATAAACGGGTTTAGGGTCAGTCTACCTCCCCGAACGAGACTCTGCCCATCGGCGGAGCCTCGTCCGGGTTCCTCTCTGCCTGAAGGCAGAGAGTTCGACTGTTTAGCTGGAACAGGTCGCAGCTAGTATATTTAGCGACCCCACCCACCACGAGGGTTGCATGTGGCACAAGGCCGGTTTAACGTGGGTTCTCCGAGCCCGTAGGCTAGGGCAAAAATATTCCCCTTTTTGAACCCGCATAAACGGGTTCAGGGTCAGTCTACCTCCCCAGACGAGACTCTGCCCTTCGGCGGAGCATCGTCCGGGTTCCTCCCTCTCCGAAGGAAGAGATTTTGACTGTTTTGCTGGAACAGATCGCAGCTACTCTCTGTAGTCCGTTGGCTTACAGTTACTTATAGGTAGTTACTACCTATAGTGTAGTCAATCCTGGGGGTGACAGGTTATTCCATTTTATCATTGTGTTATCAAGTATCTGTAGAAAAAAATAGTTCATCCACTAAGCACGGTCTTCATGACATGGTAGTTACATTAGGGGATTACGCACCAGTTTTATCACGATTGCAAAAGTTATCCGCTGAATCTAGGAGAGTCTTGAATTCCTGTACATCCTGCAACCATCGAAGATACTATCGATCGATTTCATCACATGATGATAGATCAAAGGTGGTTGATTATAAATCAAATAGTCAATGCTATTAGCATATCCAGTGAGAGTGTTGAGAATATTCTGCATAATGAAGTTGACTTGATGAAGCTTTCTGATCAAAAGGGAATCAGGCTGCTCACATCACGGCAAAATCTGACATTGTTTGAGGCAGGTCCAGCTGGTTTCTTTGAACGTTTCTTGTAAGACGCGCGTTGGTTTCATCCCCTTGCACAAGCCACACAGAGACAATCCATGCAGTGGAAACACTCCCTCCTCACCTGCTCCAAAGAAGGCCAAGCTCGTTTCATCTGGAGGGAACGTAATGGCCTCAGCTTTTTGGAATGCAAAATGCGTTGTGTCTACTGGATATATTCAAAAGGGCCACACTGTTACTGTAGAGTACTATGCAAACATGCTGATGCCGTTACGGAAGGCCATAATGATAAAAGCACAGGGAAAATGACGAAAAGGGTTTTGTTTAATCAGGACAATGCTCTAACAAAAAATTACTTCCTTGGTTTCAATGGCTGCTCTGCGTGACTGACTTTGAACTGGTTGATCATCCTTTCTATTCTTCTAATTTTACTATCATCTGTTCTCCAACATGAAAAGCATCTGGCTGCGAACTAGTATAGTAGTAATGATGGCGCCATATTTAGTGTTAATGAGTTTTTGACTAACAGGATGAACAGTCTTCATTGAACTTTACCCGGAAAGACACAATGCAGTTATTAATGAGAGTTTAAATTAAGACATGCAAACTATCACAGCGCTAGGATTCCTACTTCACAGACAGACTATGGACCTTTTTTCGTATAGTTTTCTTTTAAATGAGAAGAAAGAATTAAACATTATTTTCAAAATGTATTTTGTAGCAAAACAGTCGCTTTGATTTACTTTTACTTAATGCTCAGCCTTTTACAATGTTTTTCTTTGTCAAGGAAAATATTTGTGGACAACCAAGAATTTATTTTAAAAACACTTTAAAAAGAGATATTTTTCTATTGTTTTGTCGATAACATTAACTACTGTGTATTTGCTTTCAATTTGATAACGAATAAACACTTAACTATAAAACATATCATAAATAAATATCATATATTGTTTAAGTCAATAAAATCATCATACGCTTTAATTACTGCTTTCCAAATTCTTAGCGTTCTTTCCAACAATTCTTTGAAAAATAATGCATGGCAGACTTTCCCAAGCATTCATCTAGCATTGAAAGAGATCATTTTCCCTCTTTGGGTATTGTCTTCGAACTCACTTATCCAATTCATCTCATGCTAATTCAATGTGAGGTCAGGACATTGGGGTAGCCTAGTCATAATTTCCAGAAATGTTGACTCGGGGTAATTATGACATAATTTTGTGTTTTAGCATACCAGATTAGGTCCTATAGCCTTTGTTGTCGACTAATCTACAAGGAGGAACTCTGAATTCAAACCAGCCTAGAGAGGATTGGATACCCTCTGGTTGTCTTTCACATCACTGCTTCTAATTTATTTCGATATTTTACACTTGATTCGATTATTTAATATTTATTTGGCTTCCGTTATTTTCCTTCTACATTTTTTTCTGTTTCCTTAGCTTTTGATTCATTTTTTTTGAGTTTTATTTCTTACTAGCAGCATGGCCCGTGCTTGATTCAAAAATCGTACGACTCATACAGCAAACGCTATCATTTGACTTAAAATATTTTTGCCCTTCCTTGCCTTTAAAGGAGTGCCCTTTGCCGTGCTGATGTTGCTACATGCCTTACTTCTTGCCTATCTCACACTGAGAATTTTTTCTAAGCTCTATACTAAACATTAAATCTGTTACGAAAAAAGAACTGAACAAAATGAACACAAAACGATCAGCTTTAAAAAAAGGACTCGTAACTGGAAAAAACGAATGAAAAAAAAAGAATGTTAACAAGAAATACTTTTTCACACCCAACCCAGTTCTGTGGAATCAGAATCAATGTTGAGTTTAAGCAAGCGAATGAGCCAATTGGAGATTTAAATTTTTCCCACTTGTGACGAATGTAGCTATCGATTTTTTTTGCATTTTAGCATGCCAGTTAACATTCGTGTCAGTCAGCTGTTGGCTCTCACGCTGGCCAATAGAATCTTCCTGCCTATTCGTGGCAGCCAGCTATTGGCTCTCACTCTGAAAAATTGCCGCAAACTACATGAAAACTGCCGTAGAAGCATAAAAAATCGATTATTTCCACTATCAATGGGAGTTGGGAAATGCAATGTCGGTCTTGGCCTTGCATTCGTTACACACACACACACACACACACACATCCATAGATAGAGATTTTTCGACCGACTCATGGTGCGAGAAGGGATGGATTCTTACCTTTCTCAAGGGTATTAGCAACGTAAGGGAATATAATGAACTCGATTGGAATTCTACGGGGATGGAATGAACTCGGCTGTTCGATTCCTGAATCCGAACTGCTATCAATTACTCTTGAGAATATGAAGAATATAATAATAAAGGGAAAATAAGGAAGAAATTGAGCAAGACAGAAAAGTAAAAAAAAAATTGAAGAGTAACAAAATAAAGAAAAAACAAGAAAAATAACGCAATAGAAAGTAATATAAATATTATTTTAAAAATCGATAAGGAGAGGAATATCGAAATGAAGAAAATAAAGAATGAAAAAGAAGAGATCGAGATAAAAAAGAAACAAAAAATAAGGAAGAAAGAATGTCGCATTGAAGAAAAAAAAGAACGAAAAAAAAACGCTATGAAAAAACGATGAAAAGAACGATTAAGGAAAAGTGAAAAGTAAAGAAACGGATGAAGTATAAGCTTATGTCGAAAGCCCGTAAGATAAAAGATGAAAAAAAAGGCGCAGTAATGAAACTGCAAACCAAAACGTTGCTAAGGCAACCAAAGGTGTTTCTGAAGAAGGCCGATTGATATTCGGAACAAAATCAATTCAGGGCTCCTCACGTATATTGGATTCATATTCGATAAGGCAAGGCGCGAAGGTAATAATGCCGGAGTCCTTTCAGATTGAATATCGGAGAAGTCATGAGAAATAACTTTTTATTCCTATATATATATATATATATATATATATATATATATATATATATATATAGTCAAACCTAGAGAGCCAGACAAACCTACCAAGGTTTTACCTAAGCGGATAGTCAGGGAAAGCTGGAGTTAAGTTAAAGGAGTTAAGCAACTGGATGGCACAACAGGGTCGAGGAGAAATAAGAAAAAGACAAGAGGCAGCTTTCCATGACGATCCACTTAGGTGAAACCTTGGTAGGTTTGTCTGGCTTTCTAGATTTGACTAGGTCTGCTCTATTCACTGTATTGAGCACTTTTTAGTTAGTTGATTACTCGTATCGGTTTTTTTTCTTTGGGCTTTGAACCTGTGTGCTGGGCGATTATTTTTGACAGACGTTCATGTTCATAGCTCTTTCGTTTTTTAAAACCTTTTTTTCCTTCGAGATTGATTTGATCATATGCAAATCAAGAAACCGAAGTTTTTCGAGACAAGTGTAGTTACATATATATATATATATATATATATATATATATATATATATATATATATATATATATATATATATATATATATATATATATATATATATATATATATATATATATAAATGGACAAAGTCGACAATTTTATTTATTATTATTTATTTATTTTTATTTATTATTTTATTTATACGGTTCCGTATAGGATGCAGGTTCGAATCCTGTCAAAGGACGAATATTTTCTATGAAAATTTCTCGGACATTCAGGCCGGTAAATGTTATTTAATACTGTTTATTATAACCAGAGCATTTACTTAAATACTTGTATCTATAAAAAGAACGTTAAACATAAAAATGTCTTTTAAATAATAAATATATATATATATATATATATATATATATATATATATACATTGATTTTCTACGCGTAGTTTAGATGTGGCACAAGGCCGAATATATGGGGAACACAGTGAGTTATTCGGACTGTTGACCTCATCTTTAATGCCATGTTCACGACGTCGCTGGTTCCAACTAAGAAATTTCATCAGTGGCTCACTTTTCCTTGATGACATCAGGAAGCAAAAACATTGAGAGTTGTGTCAAAGGGAGATAACTGAGGCATCAGAAAGAAGTGTGTCGTGGAACTAGAACATCTCCGCCAGCGGACAAAATAAAGGTTCAGTTCGAAATTTCAGGAGCGTACAAATGCAGAAACGTCGTGAATGACAATAAAGATGAGGACAATGTATATATATGTATATATCAAGGACGATTAATAGATATGAATCAAAAAGATAGATAGATAGGTAGTGATGAATATATATATATATATATAAGTACGCGTACACCAATTATATATGGACTTTTTAAAGACTACGGATATGGTATATCGATTCTTGTTCATGATCACAATCTCGCCTCCCTTGTCAGAGGAAGAGATGTGGATTTCTTTTTTTTTTTGCTACGTTCCTTAGTGCACTTAGGTGTCAAGGTTTTGGTTTGGTTTGTTTTACGGCATATAAACCTCAGTTGGTTATTTAATGCCGACAAGAATTTTATTGGTGGTAATATTTTTTCCCAAAATGTATTGCCAGTAATATTCTTTTTTCTTCAAAAGTGTGTTGTTAATGTTTATTTACAAAAAATGAATTGCTGATAATATTTTACTGAAAGATGTATTGTTAGTAGTAAAACGAATTTTTACACTTTCATAGTGTTTTGACTCCAGTTTGGGGATTAACTTTTTCCCCCATTGTTGGGACCCTAACAGGTCCTACCACCCCGAGTCTGGGTGGACCTGGGAATACCAGCAATTAAGAGTTGGTTCCACGCTCCTCAAAACCTCCTAAACAAAGACCTTGCTGCTGGATGTAGTTTATCGTCATGCCCAGGATATGACGTCTCTGTGGTAATGTCTTTTTGTTGTTAGCTTCTATAGTAGCAGTGATTATGTCTTGAATGAAACATTTGCTAAATTCAAAGTCATTTTATTTATGACTTTTTGTTATGTCTAGTATGTATCATTTGCGAAATTCCGGTGGCAAATGTTAAGTCGAAGCTGAGGGCTTCTCGTTCTGTATTGGACAGATTTAAATCTGATAGATGTTCTATGACAACTGAACAAAATTAATTCGCTAATCAACGATACCGGTGCAACCGAAAAAAAATAAACGAACAGAAAATAATTACTGAAAATATAAAAAAATAACAAGCAGATTAGGAAACCAATTAAAAATGAAAGCAAATCATGGTATAGAGTCGTAGAATATCACTGTAGAATACATAACCTTTATGGTCTCCTTAAAACCCACAAAAATATCCCGACGCGCCTCATCATCACAGGAATAGACACTGCCACTGACAAACTGTCGAAAGCCATAAGAAAAATCCTAACTCCTCTCAAAAGAACATTCATATAAAGAACTCAGGCAGTCTAGTTGATAAACTAAGGGATGAACTAAATGAACATGACTGACAATCACATGAACAGCCTAGATATAAAATCGCTTTAAACCAACGTCCTAGTTGAAAATGCCTAAATCTTCTAAAAAAAGCATCTAAAAAATCAAAGACAAAACTTTTCCTACCATAATAATAAAATCTGCCATCAATCAATGCTATTTCACTTTTAATAATGATTTTTACAAACAAATATTTGGATTACCAATGGGATCACCTCTTAGTGCTGTGATGGCGTGTATCTTCTTAGAATGTCTCGAATCTGGTCCTTTCCAAAATATTTTAGTGAAACAACATACTTTCGATAAATTAATGATGCTCTATTAATATATCCTCGTGATACTTATTTACCTGGCCTAGTAGATAAATTATACAAAGTTGAACATACATTTAAATTTACATACGAAATGAAAAAATACAATTACTTAACTATACTAGATATCAAGCTACACCGCGTTAATAACAGTTTAAGTCTTGGTGTCCACCGGAAAATGAATCAACAAAAGCGGTCAAATGCATTTCTATTCTCATCATAACTGTCCTCCTTTACGACAGCGAATGCTGGACGATCTCCTCAATGATGAAAACGAGACCCAAAGCAATGGAGGTTAGGGTTCTAGAGAAGGAGGCTAAGGATACAATAAACCAAACATGTGAGCAACGATGAGGTTTTGGAGAGGATGCAATCAAAGACGAAACCTATATTTAACTTCAGGAAGAGGCAGCTGAAATTTCTGGGACACGTAATGAGAAAGGAGATCTGATACTCACAGGGCGGACAGAGGGACAAGGGAAAGCAATGCGTGACATACTTAAAGGTGTTAAGCAACTGAATGACAACAGGGTCTAGGAGAAATAACAAAAAGACAAATCTTGTTGAGAGCTACAAATGAAAAAGGAAGAAATGGAGAGCCATGATCGACTACGTCCTGATGGGACACGAAACATAAAAGAAGAAGAATTACTACATGTCTCACATAGAAAACACGATATTTAAACAAGTTACTAAACCTAACATATATGTATATGTCTACATACGGTATTTCGATTTTAGCGAAAATCAAACAAGAAATTGATAATCTCAAAACAACAGCCGAAAAGAAATTGTCTTTACCTCTGAGCTGAGTCAAAAATAAATTGTTGTTCTTAGATGTTCCTTATGCAAAGAGCCCACTGGCAGATTCTCTTGCCACCTTTAGTTGGGCAAAATAGCAGTTATAAAACATCACCCGATCAAATTAAACTCATAAATAATTACATTGGTTACACTACTACATGCCTATCTAGACGACTTACGTTACACTTAACCGACCATTGCTCCATTAGGACTCATTTAAACATACATAAAAACCGACCTGACTCCAACCGAAACATACTATAAAATCTACATGAAAAAATTGTCTGAATGTTTATAATTGGTAGCATTATTAATAAAAAAGAAAAAGCCAACACTCAAGAATATCAACTATGAACAGGGCCACTATGTCCTGACAGTATTCCAATAACTCTGGATACATATATAAATCATTTCATATATTCTATTTAAAGTAAAATAAAATTCATCCTTGATAATGGCTGAGAGAACAGCGCTTGGAAAACATTCGGACAATTTTTATATAATTTATATCCCGAAAAGAACAAAATTATGCGAACACATGAGAAATTATATAAAAAAAAAACTCAACTACTGCACCCTGTCATTCATTTTCAAACAAACTTATATAAAAGAGGGATTCCTACCGAAATACACAATATATATATATATATATATATATATATATATATATATATATATAATCTAAGATACAATTCAAAAATACTTTTACAAACTTTGGAGGTTGGTTGCTGACACAAAAACAAGGTAAAATGTCCATAACAACATATGTTCAAAATGCAATGGGATCACCTCTTAGTGCTGTGATGGCGATAAAATTTGTACCTCAACACAGCAACTCATAACAAATGTTCCAATTGTTCTCCGTTTGCTTCTACACACGTCGGATCATTGACTAGAGGGCCCTTTCAGATACATCAACACGGTGTGAAATGGTTTCACAGGCCCCCATGTCACGTTGATGATGCGTCTTCGCATTATTAATATCAGCTGCATGGACAAATTGTTTTAGGTAGTCCCACAGATGAAATTCTTAAGGAGTGAAATCGGGGAAACACACACACACACACACACACACACACACACACACACACACACACACACACACACACACACATATATATATTGTTTATATGTT